TGCATCAGGATCTCAGACCGGTTCTCTAGCCTGTTATTCAGATTCAGATTATGGGGGAGCATGTGATGGTCGATCTACTACGGGTTTTTGTGCTTTTCGAGGGACTCATCTTATCTCTTGGAAGAGCAAGAAGCAGACAGTTGTCTCCCGCTCGTCCGCAGAGGCAGAGTATCGGGCATTGGCACTTGGCACATGTGAGATTATCTGGCTACGATCGATTCTTGACGAGTTGGGTTTTTCAGTGACCTCTCCATCCACATTATATTGTGATAATCAATCTGCTATTCAGCTCGCTTCTGACTCTGTACTACATGAGAGAACGAAGCATATAGAGATCGATGTTCACTTTCTTCGGGAGAAGGTCAGCAGTGGTCTTGTTACTCCATCGTTTATGGGCACCAGTGATCAAGTTGCGGATGTTTTTACCAAACCTGTCACTCTGTCTATTCTTCGGGACTCCGTTGTCAAGCTTGGCTTTGTTGACATTTTTGCGCCTAGCTTGAGGGGGAGTGTTGGAGTATAGATAGTCTAAGTTTATTAGGATTTCTTTTCCCTTTTTACCCTTACTAAGATTTTTATATTTTGCCTAAACTACAAGGATGTTTAAGTCACTCTGTATTATTTTTGGATATATATACGGGGCTCTACTCTTAATTTGAGTATCCCTTTTTCACACACATTCATTCCAAGTGATGTACATGAACTTCAAAGGTACGTGTATCTCTGTGATTTTTATGTATGCAAAAACCAAGGAAGCAACTTGAGGAAGGGATCTTTGAAGACGATGGATGATGTGGGTCTGCTAAATGATGATCAAACTATACATTTGTGTTAAACGACATGCTTGAGCAGTGTAATTTTGCAGAACTGGGAATAGGGTATTCAAGAGTTGTTATTGTACGCCAGTTGATTGTCAATTGGTCTGTTTGACACCCATTACTTATTATGCACCTTTTAAAGCCTTATTGGATGGTTGTTGGCTATATTCTGTTATTTCCCACTGGAGAGTTGAGTTGCTTCTTTAGGGTAGATTTCAACTTTTCAGCTTTTGTAGCTTCATTCTGCGGAGCTTGCTATTGAGATGATCTGCTTATGCAGGTTAGGAAGTTCGTAAATTCAGCTTAAGCCCATTTTTGTGATTGAAGTGCTATAGGACCATGTGATGTTGCTGACTTCACTGCTGCATATACTAGCTCTTTAGTTGGTTTAGTTTGCAGATTTTTCTTATTGAATAAAAAATTTGGACCAAGCCACAAATTTGTATACCGTCCATTTGAGACTTCCCTGCCATTTGATATCCTTTGAATTGGGTTTATGACTCCTTCACAGAAGAAGTAGCATCTTTCTTTTGAATGCGGCTATTGGATTATCAAACTTGCAACTTTTATAATCTGTTGGTATCTATATCTCAAGTAAATTAATAAAGCTTTTAGGATTTTTGGTAAATAGTTTTATATAAGAGTGTCAATTGTGTTGTGTCATGGTGTGCTTAAGTTGTCTCTTTTTAGATTCATGGTTAGTATTTATCAACCATTTACTCGACCAATTTAAGTAATCATGTCATATGATCTAACACTAACCTAAACTTTTAACTGATTGTGTTTATGTTGATGCAAAAAACCGATACTAGAGACACATAATTCTCATTTTCTCAACCAAACCCTCATCCGTAGGTTCTCCATTAGCCAAAGATATACTTCATCTAGGTGCTAGCAAAATCAAGAAAATTAAATTTTAATTCTTTAATGATTCATTCAATAAAAATCAAGAAATTAAAAAAATATATAAAAATTATTCTCTGTCTTCATACATTACCAATAAAATAGGTTTTCATGTCTAAGCCAGATTATTTGTATTTGACACTAAAGGGTCTGCCATTTTTTGTTTCTAATGATAATCAGATCAAATCCGCTAATTTGGTTTTGAATTTTAGTTGGGTTTAATGGGTGGTGTCAAAAAATGTCGCCTTTGATTTTATGTAGCTGTACATATGTATTAATTGATGCTGAATGTTCTAGTTTGCTTTTCAGGCACAATAATGCATAAAAGATGTACTCATTAGTTCTCAGTGCTTTATTCAGTCTTCTGTGAGTTTCCCAACTTCCTCAGTTGTATTTCAGTTTTTAAATTCAGGAAGGTGACTTTCAATCAAGTAAAAGAGTTTGACAATTGGATAGTTTGTTTTCCCTAGCTTTGGGGCAACTATACATCATCTACTTTTGGGTATTAGTCAAAAGGTTTCTGGATCATACTTTCTTTCGTTTGGGGCACATAAACTTGTTTCATCATCTAATTTTTTGGGTTAAATTCTTATGAACTGCTCTTCTTCTCTCTGCCTTAAAAATAAACTGTAAAATAAAAGCTCCATGGATGAATATCTCACATCCTTAACCAATATCTTTTCTTTATTCTACTGAACCATTGTGTAGAAATTCTTGGATGTCTTTTCACTCTGTTCTTTTCTTACATGTCAGGGTAATGACACGGGGGCGCTAAGCAGGATTGGTGATCGATCAACCATTGGTGTCATTGTGAGGCTAACAATACCAGATGGCCGTGAGACGTGCAATCATTTTGCTGACCGTTGAACTGAGAACTGGTCCACATGCCAAGATTCTTGGCTCGTGCACCTGTGTTGAGGTCTACTATGAAGCACCTGATTTGGACTACCGATGCAATGTCAAATGCCTCATAAATGTTAGTATGGATGGTTCGCTGACTGATATGTGACATAGTGTTAGAAATTCTCTTGTCACTCTTCAAGTTGGCATATATCACTGCTAGCAGTGTGGACTACTTGGAGGCAGTCCCTTGGTAAGAGACCAAGGAGAGATTCGAAGATTATAGCACACTGGCGGCAATGGTCTTAAAGGCCATAGGGTATGGTACTGTCATGGTACCTACTACAAAATGCCTTCATATGGTGCAGGTCTTGCTTCCATTCGTGAGGGTTGTGAAGGCTTTGGTTAATTTTATGCAGCTCACGGTGAGGATGAACTGGCACTTGAAATGGATCGTGAGCTAGGCAATCGTTGGAATTAGCATTTATTTTAGTTATTCTTGCATTGCCATCACGAAAGCAAGCATGGATGGCAATGAGCATATTTGGTACCCCGACCTGACAGAGGCATTTGAGGTGTGGTTTTACAGGTCGCAGGTTGCCAAGCAAAGACTAGCACTGTTATGGTATACACATGGTATGACCAAAGAACTGTGACTTCTTTCTTCATCATGTCTTTGCCTACTCGTAGGACACAATATCCCATAGTTTGATCCCCTTTTAATTTGCCATTATTCTTAGGCCATTGTAATATTTTTATACTGTCTTGTCTAATCATATGCTTTGTGATGAATATTCTGCTTCTTGCCTTAGCATATAATTAATGAGGCTATATTATTTCATAATCTGCTGGAACATAAAATCAGATTTTTCATCTTTTTTGAATGTTTTCCCTCATTTAAGAAATCACTTGTTTGAACTTATTTTGTTGTTGTGAGTTCTTCTAAATTCCTAGTGGTTATTTTCTCATTATTCCATGTCGTTCCTATGTTTTATCTGCTTCAACTCTTTTTAGCATGAATTGGCTGAAGAACTAGGTTTTCATTGAAAGAATTCTAGTAACCTTTATAGAGGGCCAAGCCTGCAAAGTATTCTTCTGTGCTACTTATTTTGCATAAAAAGATCAATTGGACAAATAGGTCATCTCCTCTTGAGAGTGTCATAACCCCATTTATAGCTAGTGTTTACAATGCAATGAGTTGTTTTAGACATTAGTCACCAGTTACTCTGTTAATAATGTCAAGAAGGGGAAGTGCTCTTTCACTCAACAAGAAGTGTTGTTCCTTGGACATCGGATCAAGGCAGGGACCGTTTGCATGGCCCATGAGAAAGGGGAAGGCAAGGGAGGATGGATCCCCCATCAAACCTTCTTCACTATCAATGAAAAAGCCTGGTTAATTCGATCTGGCTGTTTCATTGTCCACGAACATCTGGTTATTCTCTCGCATGGTTGCTTTTTCTGGTAATGTCCCTATGACTGCTCCATTTTGCTCGTATCTAAGCACTTCAAACACTTGCACGATGTGACTCCTAGTGTCTTCCGCTGTAGTAAATGTAAACGTAGATTTCAATTATTTAATAAGGACAATTTTTTCTTTCCCAATTTATTTTCTTCTCTTATCATCTCTATTTCTGCTCCATATCTACATTACTGTCCCCACAAATGCATATATGCAAACTCTTGCCATGACAATGACTATTATTCATCGAGGCGTAACCCAACCTAGGATATTATGATCTTTAAGTTTTGGTGTGCTTGTTTGGAAGCATGTTGAGATGGAATATATGAATTAGGGCATATGCAGTTGTTTTATCATGATTTTCCACTGTAATATATGACACTAGTAGATTATACTTGCATTTTTAGTTATATTAACTGAATGCTTATTTATTTTGATTGTATGTTTTTCTTCAACCTGTTTTAATTTCGGCACAATACATCCAAAATGATCAGGTTCTTGGGTTGCCGAGGTAGACATCGATCAAGTATGCTAATTGACACATTTAATTTTGTTTACATTTGTACTCAAATAACATATCAAAACAGTCCCACATGCATGAATCACAGTTAACCCATACAGGTTGCCCAGCGGTGCGGGATTAGGCTTGAACGAATTGTAAACCCGGACGTTAGGGGTTCGACCCTCGCTGGTGTCTCTCGAGCTTAACAGATAGTTGTGGTTTGCAAGTGATTGCAGGTACCCACGGTTACTCTTGCAGGATGAGTTCAAAATGACCCTAATTTGAAGAGGTTCCTCGTTAAAAAAAAAACTCACATGTATAAGAATTCAAACCTACACAAAAAATAAATAACCTCGAGGGATAGGTCCTTGATGAAATATGTGACCCAGAGAAGGTATTATTGCATGCAGACCAATTAATTGTGGGGGAAGACTACAGTAGCATGGCTGCACCTGCAATTATACTGACAAAAATTTGCCAGTACAGAGTCAACAATAATATGCCATAAATTACACCAGATTGGCACTACAATCTGTTCTAACTTTTGAGACTTCATCTAGAGGAATTATCAACTTTTTCATTAAATAACCATTGAGAATAGCATCAAAATCCACTAAGGCAGCAAACAGATAACCAGAAAAAAACAATTTCTGTATCATCTTGTGTTTGGTTGCTGAGAAAAAATCAGAGTGAAAATTTTGAAAATGGTTGTTGACAGCCCTTCTTTTGCTTCCATCCCAGCACAACAAATTCAGGTTCAAAACATTAGTACAATGCACCTAGCAAATGATACACATGCACTTACAAAACTATTCATTTCTATACCCCCCAAAAATAAAGTAGTTTGTCACATTCATTATACCAATCCATCTATCCATATGCAGCAACAAAATTAATATACAATCCTCAACCATATGTTCTAAAAACCTAAGCTATCTATAAGAACTCAAATGGTTCTCTGGAAAGTATAGATCTGTACTATGTAAATTTCTTCATCCTTTACACTACCATGCAAATTCCCTTCTTCCTAGTAATGAAGGGATAGAAGAAAATAGTGGAAGGGAGTTTGAAACCACAGCAATACCTTCTTGCCTCTCTTTCTCTCTGTTCACATTGCTCCATTGAACTCATCAAGCCACAAAGTCTGGCAGCAACTGTGCAGCAAACCTCTTGCGGTCCTGAATGTTGATGTTATCGTAAATGGTTGTCGAGTGAGAAGATGAGGGAGTATTTATAGTTCCAAACTCGTTTGCTTCCCCAATCTCTACCCCTCTTCCTAATTGGATGTTTTGGTTAGGGAGAAAAGCTTGATGGGTTGCAGACATGGAGAGGTTGTCACAGTGTGGGAGACCAAGAGTGAGAGAAACACCATTGCCTGAATACGTTGTTGGGAATTGGTCAGTACTGAACCTTCCCATTTCTCCCATTGGGTATGTGCCAAATCCTCCAATGAAGTTTGTTGGGGCTCCCATTAAGGTAAAACCGTCTCTGCTCTGCCTCTCATTGCCAAATTTCATGATCACCTGCTCATTGTTCGCGTCCCCAGGCTTTGCATCCATGTCCACTGATGGAACACTGCTTGGGGAGTGCAACATATCATTGTTCCTTGGCTTCTTGGGACTTCCTTGCGTGAGGCTTTCCATTTCGGATGATCGCATGAGGTTGAATGCAGAGTGGTTTTGAATATTCATTCCAGTTGGGGAGGTTGAAGCCGTCGAGACTGAAATTGGTTGACTGTTTTGGTGTGTTGGATTACCTTGTTTGAACTTGAAATTCTTGCTTTGATTTTCTTTTCCAGGAGTTTTCTCTTGTGAAGCGTTGGACTTTGATGCTGAGTCTTCATTCAGTTCATTTTTATTTGTTTTGTCTTCTGATCCATTCGGTTCTTGGTCCTTGACCTCCTCTGTATACATTTCCTCTACCATTGGCTTCCAGAGCCGAACTCGAGCATTTATGAACCAATTAGACACCTGAATTTTGGTAACCCATTTCAACATGAGAATTTCGCATTCAAGAAAAGAAAATGTCAAAGAACCAAAAGAATTATCTGCTACCTGACTCCTTGTTAGCCCTGTTTGTTTCGCAAGCATGACTTTGTCTGAATCCTTGGGATAACTATATAGCAATTGCAAATTTATTGTACAAACATAATTAGAACCTGTTGAGTTTGATACTAATACAAAGTTGTCCAATGGATTTTGACAGATTTTAGTGATACTTACGGATGGAGGAAGTGTTCGAAGAGCCAAGCACGAAGAACGGATACAGAGCGCTCGGGCAATCCTCTCTGGGGTCTCCAAGCATTATGTTGGATCATTCCCAATTGTTGCAGAGCTCTTTGTTGCCGGAGCTGATTATCAACAAATTTGAGCCTTGAACCCTCAATCTTGCCTCCCAAACAATCTTCTTCGCCTAAACTCTTGCTTGCAGCTCGAATTTGGCCGAGTATCGCGTCTTTCAGGCACCGGAATTGCTTCGAGATTGTTTGCAAAGCCAGAGCTGTGTATGTCTTTGCAGAACCGATTCCTGCTGCTTGTTCAAACCAAGAAATTACAATCTGCATCTGGTGGTGGTATTGTCTGTACCTCTGCTCCACCTTCAAATGCAAAAAAATTGTACAAAAGGAGATGAAACTTAGAAAGAAAGGAAGAACTACCAATGGGGATTTTTTAATGAAAACAACTGAAAATCAGATCCCAGAACATTTTCTATGTATTTAAATCTAAGTGAAAATTACCCATCAAACTATTCTTCAGGCACGGACAATGGTAGATGAGTTAACTCAAGTTTCAAGCCAGACTCGATGAAAAGAACACATGACTGAAATTCTGACCCATATATAATTTGATGTGTACTCTTTCAAAGATCTGATGCAACTCAACTGATAGAGACCCTTTAAAAACAATATAATTCAGAATTCCCAACTCTCTTGAAACCCAAGCACAATTTTTCTAAAAACTTTCACTTTCAAAATCAAGAAAATCAAGTTTTAGCTTCACTAGGTGAACAAAGTCATCACAAACCTCAGCAAAATCATCAACTTTCAAGAGAGAGAGAGAGGGGCAGGCATACCTCATCAAGCATGTTAACAAGCTTGGCTTTCTTCATCTGAATTTCCTGCCTATCCGCCGTGTTAAGATCAGCACCACGTTTAGCACTCGAATCTCCTCCTCCGTTAGCTGCCGCCGATGACTCTCCGGTGACCTTGGCTTGTGTATTAGTCCCTTTAGGTGATTGATCAGTGCTCTTCACTCCTTTACCGACATTAACAACTTCATCCAGAAGCTCTTGAGCCGCCTTCAAATACTTAGAACTCAGCAACACACTTTGCATGCCATTAACCCCATTTGAAATCCCCGACGCCGACGAAGACGACCCTCCGGAAACTCTCACATCATCGCCACTGGTCGGAGAAATTGTGGTCACAAGAGCCTGAGATGGCACATCAGATTCAGGTCTAAAAGACCCATATCCTGGTTGTTGAGAAGATAGACTCAAAGAGAGACCCTGCTGAGCGCGTGAGGAATCACGCGCCGCCGCAAGTTCTATGGGGTTGTACATATTGTACTGAAGGCGGGGCATGAAGCCATGAATGGCCGAGAAGTCATGCTGGGTGTGGACAGATTGAGGATGAGGGACATGGGATGAGGCCGAAGCTGTGGTGGTGGTGGCGGCCTGAAGTGGGATGCCCACAAAGTGTTGGGTTTGTGAGGGTGGCGCGTGAGATAGAGTGGTGGGATGGAGATTGTTTCCAGCTGTGTTGGAGTTGAGAAAAACGAAATTGCTTCCCGGTGGTGGTTGCTGTTGTGTGTCGGAGTATCCAACGTAGCCAGGGTTCATGAGAATCAGTGTCTGTAGACCATCACCTCCACCTTGGATTTCTGAATTTCCATGAAAGTACGACGCCATATCTATCTAGTTTCTATATCACTGAAAAGAGACTACGTTAGGTTTCACTTCATAATCCAATTTAACAAACACACACACACTCTCTCTCTCTCTCTCCCTCTCTCTCCCTCTCTCTCTCTCTCAGCAGTAGTACACAAATCAAAGACTAGTATATGTAGTAATTGTATGTGTACCTGTTGATGTAACGAAGCTGGTTGTTTTGGAATTTCAACCCATTTGGCTGCTGTTCAGACAATTGTTAAAAGCTGTCGGAAATTGATAGTAACTATGGTTGTCTTCTGATCAAATAAATCCTGGAATCATCAAGAAACAACATACAGACCGATGATTAATATACAACATACTCACAGACCCATAAACCCATGTTCCTTAAAGTCCCAAAGTTTTGATCAATTTCAAGAATTCAAAGGAACCCATCTTTGTAGTATTGCTTTTTCACCCCAAGAGCAGAAGATAGCTTTGGAGAAGAGAAAGGAGGTCTTGAAGACATAGCCATGTTTCTTATATATAGTGAGAGAGAAGGGGGGGGGGAGGAGGAGAGAGAATACAGATCAGAGATATCTGAATTGATGAATTGACAGACAAAGAAAGTGAGGGAAAAAAGAATTGGTTAAACTATTATAGTTAGTATAATTGGTACCTGGTGTGATGGAAATCTGAGTGTGCACGTGCTCCATCATCATCATCTGCCAAGGAAGGAAAATTTTAGTTTCGAGTGTGACACAAAACCCATTACAGAATTACAGATTTGAGTGTGTTTGCGAGAGAGAGAGAGAGAGAAGAAGGTTCATGACCATGCAGTTCTTGCTAAAATACATGAGAAAGAAACATCTAAACACGGAGGAGTGGCCTATGTTATCTATACGTGTAATGTTACATGTATTTAAAAAGTAAATTTAAAAATTAGACTTAATAATCTCAATTATTAATTTCGTTGTAGGTCTTAATATTTATTGAGACCCACTACCTATTTAATAGTTGAGATTATTAAATTTAAATTTTAAATATAATTTTTAAATCCAACTAATATTATTCGTTATATATATCTAGGGATAGATTTATATATCAGTATTCTTACTAGAGGAAAGCTTTCTGTCAGTCTCAAATCATAAACTCTGTACAACTCTCCCACTTGATAAAGGAAAAAAGAAGTGAAGAGAGAGAAATGGGGCTAAAAGGCAGAGAAAAAGATACCCAGCTTTATTCACTCATTTATCTACACATTTATCTCTCTCCATTTTCACAAAAATTCAGAAAGGAAAAAATAAAAGTCATCTGATATTATGAAGTGTATTTACATATTCTTTGTGACCATTCATCTGAAATTATGGAGTGTATGTACATGTTCTTGGACCTTGGTCTCCTCTCTCTCTCTCTCTCTCATGAGACCTTTTATGTGAAGCACCTGTAAAGAGATCACAACTAGGGAACTTCACTGATTTGACCCTCCTTTTCAAATCATTTGATGCAGCCAGGAGGCTTTGATGAGCAATTCCAAGTAACTTTTTTGAGAGATATAGAGTGAGAAAAGAGAAGGATGTAGATGGATGTGTGTGTTGTGTGTGTTTGTTATTTAAAACAATGGCGTTATCAAAGACTCAAAGTGTGTCAGAAGATACAAGCAACTGAAAAACGAGGAAATGTCTCCTTCCACCAAAGTTTATGTAATTAATATAAAATAACGGAGGAAGAAGATGATGACGATCATGATGATGAACAAACAGTACCATTGCATTGTAAGGGTCCTCTTCTTCATTCGGATTCGATTCTACTATGGAAAAATAATTTTTTGGTATTTTACTTTTATATTTGATTTAATAATATGTTAACATGTATAATATTTATTATTTTTATAATTAATGGCTAGAAATTAATCAAACTCTCTCGGTCAATTTTGGACATCATGGTGCTATCTTGTTCATTAAATAGTCGAGTTCAACTGTGTTTACGAAAAATAATTTTTTAATATTATAATTTTTTATTAAAATTTACAAATCATATAAACTAAAATAAATGGCGATGAATTTTGGTATGGTATCGTTGTGCTACCAGTAGCCTTATTCATACAGCCCCCCGTTGTCTTGTTTCTGTATACATTTATTTTCAATTTTAATTTATCTTCTGGGGTTTTTCTTTTTGTGGTTAGATTCTAGAGTTTGAAGATAAAGCAACTTAATGCTAAAGGACACAGGGCCAACCACCATAACACCTACTTTTAATGCTTGATTGAAACCTCATAATATCACTATTTCTATATTTTACCCCAATATTTACTCATTTTATGATTGGATTATTTTTTTGAAAATTGCAATTTGAAATATTTTTGTCTACATAACACCTACCAAAGAAATTACAATACACACACACATGCACGCACACACACACAAAGAGATTACAATACACACACGCGCACGCACACACACGCGTGCATATTAGTAGGTTTCCCGTGTGATTTACAAGATATGTCTTTCCCCGCATCACCCTATCCCACCATTTTCTTCATATTTTTGGAGAATTACCTATTGATGACATAAAATAATTTTTGCAAAATGTGAAATAGTGAAAAAAAATGACTAAAAATTAAAATTTAACAATAGTTTTAAAAATATAATGGGGAATAATTACAAAAGATGGTGAGAAGTGCTAAATAAACTAAATGGAATAATTTTGATTGGAGGAACTAGTTATATATTGGGTAAATCCCATGAATACCCATCTAAACTATAGTTTTCATTTTAAATTACCCCGTGAACTTTCAATTATTCCAATTTTTCCCTTGAATTATGTAATTTATTTCAATCAACCCATTTTGTTAAGATTAACCGTTAATCTTAAAAAATTATTTTATCTATCAGTTAATCTTAATGGAATGGATTGATTGAAGTAAGTTACATAGTTTACAGGATAAATTAGGACAACTGAAATTCAACGGTCAATTTAAATTAAAAACCATAGTTCCAGAGGGATTTATAAGATTTACCCTTAAATATTTCAAATTCTCAAAAAAAATTCAATTTAGCACGTTAATAGATAAATCTTCAATAGGGGTGAGGGAGAGGGTGAGGGTGAGGGTGAGGGAGGGGGCACGAATAGGGTGATGGCATAGCCGGCTAGACCATAAGGCCACCAGATGGGGTCACCACCCCTCCCCCCCCCCCTCTCTCTCTGAGCACTTATATAAATTATTTTTCAAATGCCGTATTGAATGAGATAAAAAGATTAGAGTATTTTACAAACTCATGCGTTGTAAGCAACGTATTATTGACTTTACTAGTGATAGTCGCATCTATAAAAAGCAATTTATCCTAACTAATATGATTATTTAACAAAAAAGATTAAGTGGTTTAACCATATCATTAATAAAGAAGAATACGTTAGCAGGTTTTGAATACAAAAAATAAGATGAATAATTATTAATTAAAAAAAATCATATTTAAAATTATTGTTTTAAGTCTCATTTGTCTTGAGCCGGCCCTGGTTGACGGTGAAAAATGATAGTAAATCTTGTAAATTGCACAGACCAATCGCTAGTGTTTGTATGTGTGTATAACTTAGTCACATAATCATTCTAAAGTCCAAATGCTCTCGGGCTCCGCTAATAAATTCACGCTCTCGAAGCAAATTCTCCTTTAATTCGTACTCTCATTTTACAAAATTTGTAAATTTAATTTTTTAAATCACAAATTCGTCTAATTCATGCTATTACTTATTTATATGCTTATTTATTATTACTCAAATTTTTATTTGTAAAGTACTGACACATACTTAAAGACACATATCAATTAGAATAATATTTGTAAATTATAATTGTCATTTTTTGACTTTATAATCAATATATATTTTAAAATTAAATATTTTGTCTCATAGTTGTGCATGAAATTTTAATTTTTTATATATTTATTTATATTAAACTTTTATACGTGTAGATGTGTATGTATGCATATAATATATCAATCTCAAGGTGCTCTCGCTTTCAAATTCTTTTAAATGTTGACACTTTACACTATTGTTCTCACTTTCGCTCCTGTCCTGCTCTAAGAATGCATAAATATAGGAAATCCAATTGCAGCATTCCAGTAAGATGCGAGAGTAACATCATCTGTATTTGAATCAAAAAGCCTAAAAAGAAGGGCACTGCTTAAAAAATCTCATGCACATAGAAATGACAGAAACTTTATGAAAACCAATGACTGTGGGGTTGTGAGTTAATTTGATGCTAATTGCTACCACTACAAACTAATAGTTGAACTTCACCATGAGAAGAGATGGGGTTAGTATATTTATTAAAACAACAAACTCAAATGAAGAGCAAATTAGACCATACGTTATATCTTTTTTTTATCAGAATTCCGAATGAAGTATATTTCTTTTTTGTCTATATTATAAAAAAAAAACATTTTTTAGCTAGGGCCATATTAATTCAAGAATCATCGTCAACCCGAGCCAAATCCAAACCCATCTCAAATTATTTAGTACTAGGACAACTATGTACAACACTTAAGTTGAGGTTGGAAAAAAGCATTTGAAAAACAATTTAAAATTAGACAATGCTTAGGTCGGGATCTAGATTTTTGACTTGAAGTTGAATTCAAATTTAAGTCCAAAATTTGTGACTCTATAACCAAACTTCAAATAAACTTGTATTTTAACTCGTGAATTGAACCCAAGAATTAAATCCGATTTCTCCTCTGAGTTGTATAAACCGAGTTAAATTCTTTAAGAATGAACAACTTAGGTTGAATTCAGACCGACCGTTCAACTACTTGTCTAATCGACTTAGAATTGCACCACACTCCAAAGCAATTTCCAATTCAAGATCCAAAATGAAAGAAAAAAACAATTCCTACATCTTTGTCAATTGAACCCATACCACAAGACCAAAATATTTTTCACATTAGTGCATGCACTTAAGCACTTTGATAGCTTTGTAATTTTGTGAATTTCTAGTTGCCAAAAACTATTTCTCAACCTTATTACAACCTTATTTTTCCAAATTTTCCTATCACTATCAACAATTAAATTATGGCAACGTAAGCTGTGACAAATCTTCAACATTACAATATCACTATCAAAAAATTTAATTATGTAACGATAAGATGTGACAAATCCTTAATATTTGATTCATACCTGTCCCCCAACTAATCTTTCATGTTCATTATCAGGCTAAACAGCCTGGTGGGTAGGTTTCATTTAATATATAGCCTATTGTGATTAACTTTCATTCTCCGAGCTCAAGTTTTGGTTGTTAGTCGTTGAGCTCGAAGGAGTAATCAGTATAAATCTAGACACCCTATAGTTAAAAAAAAACTTTCATTCTCTATTTATCATTATTTTTATTTTTATTTTTATTTTATTTTTTTATGAAAATATGCACAGAATCAACACACAAAAAATTCAACTTACACGGCTAAGTGCAATTGAACAGAGATAAAGAGTACTTTCTGAAATCAACTAAACCACAGTCAAGCAATTGCTAACCGGATGAGGGTCTAATAGCCATTAAATACTCACTCACGTCGTTGCCGTGGGTAATCGTCTCGAGAGCTTGTTTAGTGTAGCGTTAAAGCGCGTATTGAATGTTGTCATTTTTAATAAAAAAAAAATATTTATAAAAAATGTGGAGGTGGTACAAAGTGAAGAACAACATTTTGACCATGAGGGCATGACATTAGTCAGCTAGTCATTATGATAACACAGTTATCACCGAAAAATGAACAATTTTGGTGCGTGCATGTGTATGTGCATGCATGTTCATTTGCCTCAGCACATTCCGAAGGTTTGAGAAATTTCTATGAAGAAAAATAATCTAATTTAGCTATTCAGTTACCGACTCGT